ATCCCGGGCGAAGGTGGGAGAAGAGGCCGCCCGGCCCGGTGGAAATTCATTTTCCCGCGCCCAGAGACCGGCCAGACCCAGCCAGTTGATCGGAGTGGTTTCGCCACTGCCCAGGCAGAAGCAATCGACAAAGAATGCGGATGCGGTCCTGGGCGGCAACAGGGCTAGGGCGTCAGCGGAGGTTCTCCTCCCTTTTCCTGCAACCTCTAGTGGGAACTTCGCCTGAAAGTTGGAACGCCCATTAAACTGTAGCGTTATTTGTACCGTATTATGTCCGTGTGGGCCTTTAAATATTTATATGAAATTGAAAAAGTTTCACAACACATTTGGGGGTATCAAATAAGGGCATTATACACCATGTACTCCAGGTCTGATTAAATAGCACTTTGACCCAGTTCTTCCATGTTGACAATATCACTTCTGTTCTGACATCATCAAAATTATAGCTAATTGGCTGTCCAGTTTGCTGAGGCACTAATTGTTCTTGTCCATCTGTATACCAAATTAGGAATTTATGTAGCTAATTTTGGTATTAGGCAGTCTTGATGATGTCCCTAATGCTGGGTTGATTTTCAGATCCAAATATCCATGAAACTATACAATACTCCATTTACCTACACTTGAATCCTCAAATAGACACACTTTGAGCTTGCTGGGCTTAATTTAGGAGGAAAAGCTGGCCCAACACCTGCATTCTCCTAAGCCCAAACACTGCCTTCTGAATTTTATGATGCTTTGACATCTTGGGACTTTGGGGATTCAGGGAGGAATTGTCTCTCCAGAGTTAGATAATTCATAGAGATATAGAACACTGCCCCTGCTAATAGGCCTCTGATATATATATATTTTGTAAGCCCATATCCTGAACCATTTCCTGGATCTAATTCACACTCTAAATATTTCTTCTCCCCTACATCACTGTAGGGCCCGGGATTGGACAACTGGAGATCATTTCTCTACTCCAGATGTCCTACTGATGTTATGTGAACAATAAAGTCCTAAGCTTGCTCAAGCTTGCTTCCTTGCCTTCCCATTCCTTTCCACAGAAATCATAATAAAGGGTCTGCACCATGATTTTCTTTTGCTTCTTTTTCTCTGCACTGGCCCTGGCACTTGCCCTCATGATCCTGTGTGGTGCATCATGCTCCCTTCTATTGAAAACTATGAGTAACAAAACTTCTTTTGCTGGTGTTGGCCACTCAATCATCTCCATAAATTAAATCTTGGGTATAATTCAAACAAGATACCTTGAGGAGTTGGCCAAATGGTGGAAAACCTTGATTCTATTCTAAGGAGTTTAGGTTATTCCATAGAGGGCTGTAAGGTTTCTAAGGCAGGGAACAACATACATCTGAGCTTTAAGAAGATAAAGCTGGCAGTGAGGGGAAGAAAGGATAGATGCTGAAAAGCCAGCTTGGAAATTTTCAGTGACAGTGTTGGGAAACTAACTGGAAATAGGAAGTAAAGGTTGGATAGGAGTCAAAGATTCACATCGCGAACCTGGTTAACCAGCTGGATGGAGATGTCACACTATACACGGAACACAAGAAAAGGGGCATTTAAGCAAAGGACGCGTTTAGGCTGGGAAACATGGTGTCTAGAAACTACAGAACAGAAAATCCGCAGCCTAATGAAAAAAACCAGCCTGGAAGCCTTAGAGTTAGGAGGAAGCTACTTGGGGGCAGTTGTAGGAGAGTTCCCCCACCTTATTCATATTTTAAGCATTTAGTTTGCTACACAGTATAAAAGCAAACATAATTCATAGTGATAATATAGAATTTCTCTGATGAAATGGATGTATGGTATACAGTTGAAATATAGTAAATATAAGTTGGGATCAAAATATAAGTTAATTTGTTTAACTGAAAATAATACAGGTTACTTATTGCTGAGGCCACTAAATGATTCCATCTATGTGGAATCAAGTTAGATGTTTAAAGAACTATCAATGTCAAAGAAAGGTATTATTTTTGTACAGAGATCAGAATATTGGTTCTAATTGCAACTACTAGTACTATATTAATACTAAAGTAGCAGGCTAATGTTTAAGATAGAATTAGATAGCCTGTTTTCCTTATTTAAAGTTTTAGTTCATCATGAAACTATCCTTTGTTGCTTGTATAGTATTACTCTATTTAATCTCTCCTCTCCTAGAACAAATGTTATAAACAAATGAATGCACCAAAAAAGGTGTAATTAGTGAAAATTTGAGTTTATGGTGCTAAACTGCATTTATTCTGACAAAACTGGCACATGGTTTATCAAGTATGGATCTTTCTATAGCTTAACTCCTAAGAACCAGAAATGCTTCTCTTCTGTGAGAAAACTGTATTCCTTACCCATAGTCATCTAGTCAGTGGATCAGAATTAACTAGACAGAATTTATGCCTTGCAAGCGCAAGGACCCAAGTTTGATCCCTGGTACCAAAAACAAAACAAAACAAAACAAAAAAACAAACTAAACAGAATTTCTGTATACTTGTAATATTCAGAGTATATTTCAGAGTATATTTGTTATATTTACAATATACAAAATTTCAGTACTGTATTTTGACATGTATCTGCTGGATTCTTGAAAAATAATGTAACTTTTCATTGCAATTAGTTCCAAGATTACAGAGTCATAGAAGGGGAACATTTTAGAACATAGACAAAGTAAGTGTTTTGATAAACAGGATAGGAGCTATATAATCTTTTGTGACCTTGCCTCAGAAGCCACAGCCTTAGAAGCAGACCCAAGCTTTAGATATATGAAGCCACAAATAGGTTTATAGCTTTTTTATCTTTGCAGTGCTGAGGATTGAACCCAGGGCCTCACACATGCTAAGCAAGCACTCTCTTCCCGAATGCTAACTTTCCTTCACTGAGTGGGGATACTGTGATGCAAGTGACAAAAACCCTAATCCGAGGGGTAAAGAGGGTCTTTGGAATGAGAGAGAAAGAACTATGGACTCCAGTACGGAAATTTGGGGGTTTTCTTGATTTTCTTTCCTGCCCTTATATTCCATAACTGGCTTATCAGCAAATATTGGCTCTACCTGCAAATATTTTTAGAATCTCATTTCTCAATACTCTAGTCCAAGTCACAAGTATCTCTTACTTGCACTTTTGCCTTAGCTGGCTGTCTAGTCTCCTTGCTTCTGCCCGTGACCTCCATCTTTTCCCTTCTACACTGCAAGTGAACTCACTCTTCAGTGGTTTGCACTGTCTACTCTACTCTCTGGGTTGTCTTTTTCTTAGATTTTTAGCACTGGTCCCTTTCAGATTTGTACTCAAAAGTTACTGTCTCAAGGAGGCCTTGTACATCTAAAAATTGTAACTATTGCCCTCACACTTGATAGCCCTTTGCAGTGTTTTGATAGAGTTCCCAAATTTAATGTATTGGGGGAATTAACACCTAGTGTAATAGGTTGGGAGGTGGGGCCTAATGGAAGAAGTTGGTCGCGAGGACCCTGCACTCATGAACAAATTTAGGAATGGCTAAAAAGAGCTTCAGGCATGGGTTCTGTTTTCCTTCTGCTCTTTCACCATGAGAGGATGAAGTATTCACCCTATTTTCCAGACCCGCTGCTTTCTGTCATGCAAGGATGTAACACGAGGGTCCTCATCAATGCCTTGACCTTGGACTTCCTTGTCTCCAGAATTGTGAGAGAGTAAATTTCTGTTCTTTATGAACTACCAGGTCTGTAGTGTTCTGTTACAGCAGCACAAAAAGGACCAAGGTGCCCTCTTCTTTCCCCTCAGCACTGATCACTGTATACACATTTACATAACTATTGCGCCTATTGTCTGTTTCCACTATTAGAACAATAGCTCCATGAGGGTGGGGCTACTTTCTAGTCCAATTTTTCACTGTTGTATGCCACCGCTTAGTGTGTGTTAAACACTTCATAGTGTATATGAGACACTTCATAAATTTTTGTTGAATTAATTAGTGTCTATTCATAGCAGTGATAGTACATTTCCTTTAACACATCAAATAAAAACAGTCAGTTTTAAGTAAATAATAGTCCAGGTGATATGTAGATATTATAACAGTTATAAAATATAGCAATGAAATCCTGAATTAAAGTTGCTAAGCTGGGCATGGTGGTTTACGCCTGTAATCCCAGCACTTGGGAGGCAGAGGCAGGAGGATTGCTGTGAGTTCGAGACTAGCCTGGGCTACACAGTGAGTTCCAGGTCAGGCTCAACTACATAGTGAGACCCTGTCCCAAATAACAAACAAACAAACAAAAAAACAGTTGTTAAAAATGCTTTGCCCAGTTGCCAGGATAGTGACCAACCTTGCAGACCTCTCCCAGGTCAGGCCCAACCATCTTCCTGTACTAAGAGGGTCTATCTCTGGTAGGGTTGGCCTGAGGCCTTTGCCAGAAAAGCAGAAATGGACAGGCCTGGGGCCCTGGTCCCAAGGCCTAGCATCCTGATGTGCACCAATGTCCCTGGAGGGAGAAAGTCTCTGAAGTGCTAGGAGGGAAGATGGGGTTGCTCTGGTGGAACAGCTGCTCAGAGATGGGGTCTAGAACCCCATGGACCTTTCCCAAATAAGTTCCTGCTCTCCACACCCACTGGCTGTCTGAGGTGATCACCGACCCTGTAGTGCCCCCAAGGACATCAGGTGCTCCTCCTGGGCTGTGTGGCTGAGGTAGAAGTAGGAAACTGGGACAGAGCCCTCAACTGAGAGGAGTAGTCAGTGCTGGCCAAACACATCAGGGGTGTAGGAGACCCAGGGAGCCAGGTTTCAGCCTTTCTCTTTCTGCCGGTATCGGAGCCAGGCGAACAGGCTCAGCAGAACCAGTATGAGGAACAA